GTGATTGATAAGAACATGGCATCTGCATGCTTTCACTTCCTTTAAGCATAATGAGATTGATTTTGAGATAGAAGAAAAATAGTTTCATCTGCTTAAGAAGTAGCCATGGAAGAAAACACTAATACATAGCTAAGTTAGGTTACTAATTCCATATTATCTTCATTTGCTGTTTGTGTTTGAGAATTTAATAACCTCTTAGAAATTAAAATTCACATTAACACTTTTCTGATATGTTTTGTTGTTGCTGGCATTAACAGTGAAGTGAAGGTGATCAGCATATACTAGGACTTGCCATTTTCTGATTTTATTATCTTTTTTAAAATAATCCATAGTTTTACAAATGCTTAGCAGTTTTATATTACTCTTGACCTTGGAATGAGCTCTATGTGTCAGCTCTCAGAATTCACAGGCTACCAACTAGAATTTATGGAAGTGTATTTCTTCACTGCTTCTTCAATTTCCATATTATCTGCTAGAAGAGACATACTAACTTAAGTGTCTATTTTGCTAAGAGATAAGTAATCAATCTTATCCCTGGAAAACTATGCATTTTCCAAATATTCACTGATTCTATGAGTTGAACACCATGAGAAAAGTGGTAAGCAAATGATAGTTAAGAAGTGATGCATAAAACATCCTCATCAGTTTGCATATATGATAGAATCTTTTTATTCTATGACCTATCTCAGAAAGTAGTATTTCACTTACATGTTACAGTAAATTTTCTCATCATGGTTTAGCGAAAATAGTAATTACTTTGAAGTTACATTCCCGACAGCATACATTTGGTTACATTCCTGATAGCATGACTTTCTGGTGGTTTGCAAACATATGAATTCCAGTTATTTCATTTGTAGATCAAGAATATGAGGAGGCTTCAAAGAGTTCACAGAAAAATGTCACTATCTTTTAATTCCATTTTTTCCACAAACATAAGTCCCTGTTATAATATGCAGACTCTTACAGAGTATTAGTAAGAACCTAAGGAAATAATATCAATGTATTTTGAAATCTTTAGAGTAGCATAGTGTTTTAGTGTTTAGTAGCATAGCATTTAGTGTTTAAATTTAATTTTATTAAATAATGTACTTGATTTTTTACTTAAAGAATAAGTCAGTAACTATCTGTTATCACCTTTTAATTTTTTTAATATTTATTTTTCCATACTACCCTCTGTACAGGTATTCAATGCCAGACTTCATTTTGGAAACTCTTCTCATGATCATATTTTCAGGGTAGAAAGAATGAGGAGTCAACTGCACTGCTCTTCAACTAATTACCTGGTGAGGTGCCCATTGATGATGTCTTTTCACAGCCCCTCTTTAATCATGCATAAAGCTATTCTTGGGTTCTGCTGTAAGTATTCACTTTTAGGATATCCTTTTATTTTATGTGTAGCTTTGCTGTTTTTTTTTTATATTTTATTTAGATAGCACTTAAAACACTTTATGCTTTTATGATCCCTTTGGTTTTCTTGGCCTGCTGTCGTCTGCTTTCATATTTTTCAGTAAGTCGACTCCTATCGGATATTGGTGAAATTCTCTTAGATTTCCACCACTCCTTAAGGTTTATTTAATTTGTATTATATCATCTCAACAGAATTTGGGGTCGAAGAGAGATAAATGTTTAAGCCTAGTTAACTATCTTGAACCAGATATTTCTTGTATATTATTTCTAGTAGTTTTACCTACCATATAACCTTAGAGTGGTTAAATAACATACCAAAGTTTATTTTGCAGGTATGTGGCAGAAAGCTGACTGATTTCAAAATCCAAGCTCTTTTCAGTACCCCATCTTTTTTTTTTTAAATAGTAGGAAAACAAATGCCCAAAGGGTCATATTAATGCACTATTTATTTAGGATTTTAAAATGTTATTTATCTTTTCATTTCAGTTGCTTTTTGTTTATTACCAGGCTTATGCTTAAATAAAACTAATTGCACATAATGGATCTGACAGCATGAGTGGATTAGTGTATTCCTGAGTGGTTTGATCATTAGAAGCAAAATAATAATTTGAAACTCCACGTTCCATTTTTTAAGCCCATTTCTCACTATTGCAATAACATAAACTGTTCATTTCCCCATGAAATGGAATTTAAAATGTAACTTCATCTTTGGTTAGAGAAAGGACAGTAGAGGGCTATCTGTTTATTTTTATTTCATTCCCAAGGAATTAGTTTTTGTTTAGAAATGTAATACTATAATAATAGAAATAGGAATCATGATAAAGTATTGGAAATGCATAGAAATTTGTTTATGAAGGATACCACAATTTTAACCAAAATATTTCTCTTTTTTTAAATGATAGTAATTGGAAAGCTAGTTAATAGAGGTTTGTTTTTTTTTCTTTTCTTTTTTTCACTTTGAGTATTTCTTACATTTTTCTTTCAGCAGAAGCCTTTAGAGGTGGACAACCTAACCACATCAAATACAAGTACGTTTTAGTTACGTTATTCAAATAATAAATACCAAGTTTATTTGTTAAAGTATTGAAATTATAACAGGCATTCATTGTCTGGTGCACTGATATTATAATGAAAAGAAAAACAACACTGCCTAACTTAATTGTACTTGAACAAAGAAGAAGTAAATAGACTTTTTATTAGGAAAGCTGGAATCTGCTTTGTCAAAGGACATAGATTGCAAGAGAGCAATGTCACTGTAAAACTTGGAGCTTTGTTAAGTCGTATTGTTCACACTGTCAGTTTCTAGTGATCACTGATGGTAGCTGTAATTATGGCAGGGATACTACTTGACAATGAGACTCGACAGACTACGACTCCAGCTTTTTCTCCTTATGCTAAACCTGGACTTTGAGTCAAATCTTTGTTTTTCCTCCTGTATTTGCTTTGACAGTATTATTGAACAGGACACTTTTTTTCATGATAATTTGCACAGTTATTAATAAAACATATCCTATTACGCAATAATTGAATATATTTAATTAAAGTTGATGCAATGAGAATAATAGAAAAAGGCAAGGCTTTCCCCTGAAGAGTCAGAAATGAGTGATGGTAATCAGCCTGGATTTTGCCAAAAAAGGAAATAATTCCAAGAGCTGAGTTTGATGACCCTTCATCAGTGACTCTTGGTTCCTTTATACTGAATTTGTAGTAGAGAATGATAAGTTATGCATCCTCTGCTCTTAAATCGTGACATCAAGTCAATATGCCGTAACCTATTTTATTGTCTAACACATCTTGGTGGAGATCAGCATGTCTCTGATTTCCTTTATCCTTCCAGTAATTCTTCAATAAAAACTCAGAAAACATGACCTGCCTTCTAAACAAGCAACTAAGAACTCTGCAGCCCTCTACCTTTATCTCCATAGTCAATATATCTAGACAAGATCATTTTCATTCAAAAGTCAAGAAAGTATCTGTAAACAATTAATGGAAGCACATTATTAAATTTCTGTTCTTAATGATTATTCTGGAGCCCTGTTGGTACACTGGTTAAGCATTCGGCTGCTAACAGAAAGGTTAGTGGGTCAAATTCCACTGTGGGAGCAAGATGTTGCTGTCTGCTTTTGTAAAAATTTCCACATTTGAAATCCTAAGGGCAGCTCTGCTCAGTACTCTAGGGTCTTGGTGAGTTGGAATTCTACTCAACAGAAATGGGTAATGATTATTCTATTAGCTAGAGAATGATTGTGGTAATTATAAGCAGAGCAGATACATGAGCTCATAACAGTTGTGTGGATTTAAAATTTCACTCATGGTCTCTCATAAAAAAATTCTAAATGATGATTTAGTAAGTTTCATTTTCTATATTACGAGCATTTAGCAACTGTTTTGCATAGATATTAAGGAATCAAAACTGACTCACAGTTCAGGAAGGTTGAATTCTCGGAGGTTTGATGTTAAATGGGCATTGATATTAACTCTGTCACAAAGACGACGAACTTAGTAAAATGCTGCATTGGGAAACATGTAAAAAGTTATGGAACAAGTTGATATTTAAAAGATTTTGTAAAATGATTTAAATTAAACATTTGTCTTTAAATCTGGTGTCAAATTCTGGGATTTGCTTTCTTCAACACACATATAATGCCTTCACAAATTACTGAAGAACGCCTGTGAATATAAGCAGACATTAAGACTGTTATATGGAGGTCATGGTTGTTAAGTGCCATCAAGTTGGTCCTGACTCATAGAGACCATGTGTAGGGTTTCCGAGGAGTGACTGCTGGATTTGAACTGTTGACCTGTGGTTCAAATGAGACTTACAGTCTATTGCTTTATCCTACAGAACCACACTATGACTCCATTATAGTGATGTTGTTGTTGTTGTTGTTAAGTGCCATCGAGTCGGGTCCGACCCATAGCGACCCTGTACAGGGTTTCCGAGGGTGTAAATCTTTACGGGAGTAGAAAGCCTCATATTTCTCCCGCGGAGCGGCTGGTAGTTTCAAACCGCTGACCTTAAGGTTCACAGCCCAATTCGTAACCACTACGCTACCAGAGTAGTCCTTGTTATATACTCCTTTAAGGCACAATAATTTGAATACTAAGTAAATACTTGGTGTAGCACTGTAGAATAAATATTGGGCTGCTAACCACAAAGTTGGTTGGTTCAAACCCATCAGCTGCTCCTTGGAAACCTAATACAGGGTCACTATGAGTCTGGACCAACTCGACAGCACTTAACAACAACAACCATAGCTGTTTTATAATGTTTTATTAGATGGTGGTTGAAAAAAATGACTGTTCTCCCAATTGTGGTAGCTAGAGAATTTACTATTTTGTCCAACTCATGATGGCACTTATGAATTTTTACTTAAGTCTGATCTTTAAATATATTGCTGTTTTTGTTAAGTGTCATAGAGTCATTTCCTACTCATAGCAAACCTATGTACAACAGAACAAACACACTACCTTATCTTCACATTATTACTATGTTTGAACCCATTACTGCATCTCAGTAAAGTATAAAGGGACTTCAAAAATTTTGTGGAAAAAATTGAATTAAAAGATAATGGATTTGGGTCTCTTCTGCCACCAACATGGAGCCTTTGTATGGAGTCCTGTTCCTGGTGTTCAAATGCTCCAACCTGAAGCTGAAGGAGTCGCCCTTGGTACGTATGCCATGGGCCATGACGATGGGCACTCTGGTGGTGGTGTCTTATTTCCTTATCTCCAGAGAAATAAATTATGATGTTATTGTGAAATCTCCAAGTGTTGCTTCTATGGCTGATGAACATGGACATCAGAGATCCATAGCTTTCTTGACTTACAGAGTAAATGAACAGTATATTATGGAAGGACTCGCATCTAGCTTCCTGTTTACAATGGGAGGTCTAGATTTCATAAGCCTGAACTGGTCCAGTGCACTAAACATTCCAAATCTCAGTAGATTTCTTATTTTATTCATTGGATTCATCTATATCCAATTGAAAGTTTTTATGGCTAGAGTATTCATGAGAATGAAATTGCTGGGTTATCTGATGAGTTAAAGTACCCCTTCAGAAGAAATTGGTGGATATTGGATTTGCTCCTGTTAATGAAGTTTTGACAGCTGTATCTACCAAACCTCAAATATGAAATATGGGAAAGGATGAAAAGCAGCAGAGAGAAGAATCTAGTGAAAGTATAGGAAGCTTATTAAAGCTTGGACTAGAATTTCTCCTTGGTAATTCAGAGACACAATTTTTTTATAGTGTGTTTTTTTCCTGCTGACCTAGACTGATGTCCCAATGATGTTAAGTGGCATTTTCTTCTTAGTTTTTCATTTTGAAAGGAAATATACTTCATTTCTACAACTGTAATATTAAATCAAGTAATTAATTTTTATAGCCCCTTAACATTTACAGGAGATGGCATCTCTGATTTTCAAACATTGATGTTCAGTCAGGAAGCAGGATGCCATAAGCAGAGAACTCTGGACAGCTGATCAACTTTACCTGTGGTGCTTTGCCTTTCAACAGATTATGCAATACTTGTTATTCCACATATTTGAAAGACTGTTTCCTGAACAATAAGATGTGTGCAAGGAATAGAAATAAATCTACATTTTTTAAATTAAAAAAAAAAAAGATAGTGAATTGTTTTCTTGATTGCTGATTCCATGGTTATTGATTGTGGATTCTAGTAAAATGAAATCCTTGACAATAATACCAACTGGACATAATTATTCTAAAGGTTTTACAGTAGTTTAGCTTATATTTTTGCATGTGGTTTACATGACAACAGCATACTTGACCATGTTGTCATTGTTGTTGTTAAGTTGGTTCTGACTCATAGCAACCCTATATAGGATTTCAAAGGAGTGGCTGGTGAGCTTGAACTGCCAACCTTGCAGTTCAAACTAACCTTGCAGTCAGGTGCACTAGCCCACAGGACTCCATTAACACCAGAACTCCATATGTCCATATGAAACTTGCAATAAACAGAAGAAGCTCAACCTTAGTCTTCACTACAGGACCTAACAAGGAGAAGTTTTATGGTATAAATCTATAAGGTAACATGCATATATTAATATCCACGGGATATTTGGGTTGTCTTAGTTAAATCTCCATGGACACATTTAGATATGTTACCTGACTATAAATTCAGTATGCTTGATTACATATATAGAACATGAAAAGATAACTGAAGGTCATTCTGGTTAAAGGTAAAGGCATTGGATTCAAATGTAAAGACAGTGGATTGAAAGTTGGTTTCATGGCTTTGACTTTTATTAATCTTTTTTTTTTTTTAAATCAAATTAACATCTCAGCTTCATTTTTCTTAGTACTCCTGGTGTGGCGATGTAGGATAAGCACTGAACTTGTAACCACAAGAATGGCAATTCAAACCCACCAGCTGCTCCCTGGAAAGCTTATAGATGGAAATGACTCAATGGA